TTCCGCTAAAAAAAACATATTTTGCCCCATTACATTTCCCTCAATTTTTGCTTGTGAGAAGGGTCATGTATTTCCAGTTTAAAAAACATAAAACGAGCTTTAAAGCAATTAGTTCAAGGTGAGAGCATATCCGGCCAAAATATTACCAGACTATTCGTATCAAGTGACAAGACAGAGTCCCAGACGCTATCCTACTGCGCTCTAGCTCCGATGGGCCGGCCACGTTCACCGCATGGACGACTCTCGCCTCCCAAAGAGGTTACTCTACTGTGAACTGACCCTAGGCAAACGTTCTCTCGGCGGACAGAAAAAAACGCTTCAAAGATGCCCTGAAAGCATCCCTGAAGAGTTCTGACATTCCCCATACCACCTGGAAAGAAGCCGCTCGCGATCGCACAGTTTGGCGTTCTTTAGTAAGATCGGGAGTCGCCAAGTTCTAAGAAAGACACATCAGAAAGAAAAACAGCAGCTGAGAAAAGACCGAGAGACCCCTACCTGCCAGCCTAGTTCAGCCCCAAACATCCCCTGCTCCCGCTGCATCAGACATTTCCGATCGAAGATCGGCCTTATCAGCCATCTCCGCACACACCCCATCCCTCCAGTGATGTGACGTCAAGGTCATCTTCGCCAGCGAAGGACAAATATCATAATATACATAAAATGTGTGTGTATAAAATTGCGTGTGTATATGTATATATAATTGCGTGTGTATATGTATATATATATATGTGTGTATATATATATATCTAAAACGTGAGCTATCATTCTTTTTGTAACAGACGTACAAGGTCATTGTGTATAATATTAATTTCCAAGTCGAACAGCCCTCCAGAAAACCTCTAGAGAGGATGTCGTACGTAAATACATAGAGAGATGAGATGTCCCAGATCTGTTCTGTGCCTCGTTAACGTTTATGATTATCCGTGTAAGAAGATCACAGGGAAGACTGTTTTACTTCCCGTTTGAGAGGCTAAAAAACCTCGATCGTAAACATTAACCCTTTCCGTTTGCTGCTGCACGGCGGCTGCTCTGGTGTAGCTTGCTCCTTCTCTCCCATCAAACATTGTACTATTGTTGTCCTTATCTAGCATTCTTCTTTTCTTTGTAAGTTATTCTCTCGTAGGAACACCTCTTATCTTCTTCGGCACTTATAGGACCTATTTGTACTGCAAGTGCCGTAAAATTCTTACCAAAACCCGATTCATCGATGTTTTTTGCGTTCTTTACTACTATTATTATGTTCCATAGACTTGTATTATAGGATCCTAGGCAGTGCACTCTTACGTGATTCCAATTCACTTTGGAGCGCGCATTATTTGACTCCTCTGTTCGGAGCCAAATGAAAAGCAAGTAGGGGGGGGTTGCAGGCGCACTCAACTGTAATTGTGAGACTGGTGTTTTTCCCTTCATTTGCGCGCCCCTGATGCGAATTTTTATAGAGAGCGATTTGATGCAAGACGGCCATGACTGTCCGGTCCAAGATATTAAAAATCAAGTCTGTGTTCTGTCCATACAATTGTGGCCACTCTAGAGTTAAGTTGTATCTTACTCTTGTTAAGAGTTGTTGTTAAGATTTTCTTGTGTGATGTGGAACGTCTTGTCAGTTCAGATAAAAGATCTGTTTCCTATCCCTTTGTTGAAAATTTTCCTTTTTCGTAATGAGTGAGTCTTCAGGGGGTATTTTTTGAAAATATTAATATCCCTTGATGGAATGCGATATTGCTTTTATTCTTCTTTAATAAATTAATGAAGATATTGTTTGTTTGTTTGAGTAAAGAGAGAAGCACGTCGACATAATGATGGTCATTACGTGATGGGGGAATAAGGTAAAACAGACAGATAGACAGAAACAAGAGGGGAAAGTAAAGTAGGACCATCTCTGGTAGGACCTACCGGTGATGCCTTCCAACCTCCCGTAGTTAAAGAGCAGTGCATCGACCAAGTAACGACCGTTAGGACCACAGTGCTTAAAAGACGGCCAACACGCCGAAAGAACAGAGAGTCAGTTATTTGTTAAAAAGCGCCCCTTATACGGGGTGCCCACTTGGGCTGGATCGGGCCGATCGCCCGACTCGGTCGCCTGAAACTGAAAACAAATACGGTTAGTTTTTGAGGCAACCGAGTCGGTTGATCGGCCCGATCGGCCGATCCCATCCGTAGTGGGCACCCCGTATTAGACTGCGAAGCGAAGTCGACCTGTTCCTAATGCGAATCCCGAAAGAGACGTTCCGAACTTCAGTTGTTTTGGTGAGTTTTTGCGGCTCTCTATCCATATGGCTCGTTTCTATCGGAGAAGGACGTGTAATTGGGAGGTTGCGACTCTAAAATTATCTGACAGTATTGAAAGTGGCGTTATAGCCATGCCACACCAGACTTTTTTCGGTAAGTTTTCTCTACTGGTTTCATTCACATTCAAAGTAACTACTCGGTTAGCTATGATCTCGAAGC